GTGCTGCAGGATGGCTGATGAGTTCAAGCCATCAGCCTTTGGATTAGCAGCCCAATGTTTTATCACTGTACCAGCAGATTTAATAAATATAGTGATTGGATACAACTCCCAATGCACATGACTCCTGATTTTTAAATCAGGCAGTACCCTTCTGTTCTGTTCATACAACTGACTCTTGCTCTAAGTACAGGCTCCTAGGAGTACATTTAAGTGTTCTGTGTGGGAAACTGAGAACTGGGATGAGTGATTATGGGGAGGACTAAAAATAAGGAGCTGATGCCAGGGGCTTAAGTGGAGAGCAAATGTTTTGAGAACGAGGAGGGCAGTGAATGTACAAATATGCTTTACACAATTGATGTATGTATGGATTGTGATAAGAGTTGTATGAGCTCCTAATAAAATGATTTTTTTTAAAGTGATTATGAAGACAAATTCTCTACACTCATAATTGAGTCTGGAAGGCAGATTTGGTGGAGGGAGGCCTTCACACTCATGGGTTGGAGATACATCCCAGTCACATTCCCCTAAGTAAAAGTTATTCCCCACTATGTTCCCCTATGCCAATTGTAAGGTGCTCTTGTAAGCATATGGGTGCTGCTATGTACACTTGAAGGTTGCCTGAAGGTTGCCCCGAGCAGTCAGAAGTCTTGTGTGTCCCACCCTAAGTAGGGCCCACTCCTTTTGATAAGGACCATAGATTGTTCCCCTGGAGCTCAGGGACACCTAAGGTCAAGCCACCTCAGAGACAACCAAGGTTAGACCACCGCCTTAACTCTAGAACCCACCCTTCTTGTTCTGTATATACCTTCCTGTCACATGTATGCCCTTGTACCTCCCCTTCCTATTGCATGCATACCCCTAGCTCATCCTCTCCCTTTATATGTATGCTTCCAATACAACCCTTTCCTGTTACGTGTGTGTGATGCGGCTTGCATGCCTGGGATTACATAAGCTTGTGAGAGAATACATTCGCCCTTACTCTGGTTCCCACCGCCAAGGGAGAGGTGAGCCCTTGCATGTCTTGTCCGTTGTTCCTTTAATTTACCCCTCAATTACAAAACCGCCCCTTGCACCCATTCAGTTGTGGAGGAATTCCCCACAGTTCTAGAATTCCCAATCTTCTCAATGTTATGCATACTTTGTTATAATCCCAGTCTAATGCCTTTGCATAGTCAATAAACACAGGTAAACCTATTTCTCATATTCTGTGGTCTCAGCCACAATCCATATGATATCAATGGTAATATCCTGCATTCTACAGCCTCTGCTGAGTCTGACATGAATTTCTGGCATTTTTCTGTTATTTCTGTGCTGCCTCAACTATTTTTAAGTTATCTTCATCAAAATTTTGCTCGGATGGGATACTGATAATATTGTCCAATAATGTCCACAATAAATTAGAGCCATTTGGTTGATGATGCTCAGTTCTCAATTTCCTTGCTGATTATCTGCCTCCTAGTTCCATCTACTACTGATCTCTCACTCACAGCACTCAAGTCCACTCATAGCGACCCCTGTAGGTTCCTGAGACGGTAACTGTTTATGGGAGTAGAAAGACAGTCTCTCCTGGCGGAGCTGCGGATGGCTTTGAACTGACAACTATGTGCATAAGAGCCCGATACATAACCACTGCACCACCAGGGCTCCATTCTAGAATTATTCAAATCTGCATTTGTGAATTTGTCTCTGCTTTCAGCTTTGTCAGATTTTGCTTTGTATATTGTGAAGTTCTGTTGCTAGATACTTATTTGAGAATTAGTGAATTAACCCTTTTATCAATTAAAAACGAATCTATTGTCATTGAGTTGATTCTAACTCATGGCACCCTGTGTTATAGAGCCTATAATATCCCAGTTTATCCCTGATTCCCTTTGATCTATCATTATGACTGTAACCACTATAGCTTTCTTTATAAAATAATATTTGCATGGTGTCTTTTTTCCATCATCCCACTGTTAATCTACCCATAAGATTATATTTGAAATAAACTTCTAGTAGACATTGTATGTTGGATTAATGGTTTTCTTTTAATCCAATTTACCTTGTTAGACATTTACCAAATTGGAAAAAAAAACTATATAAGAGTTCAATGTGGTCATGTATTCCTACATACCATTTATATACAAATCAGATTTTCTGTAAATCTTGGCCTTTAATAGTTTTATTCACATTTCCTAAGTAAATGAAACATTAAGTACTATGTTAAAACCATATGCAAGTCTTAAAAAACATAATGCAAACTTCCCATTTCCTGAGCTTTGTGATTGCATGTGCTTAGCTTTCAAAACAAAACACATTAATATGAACGTGGGGAGATTTTTCCTTAACACAGTTTTAATTATACAAAGAAACCCAAAAATGATACTTTGGTTTCTTCATTCAGGTATCCTGAATTCCCAGATGGAAATTAGTACTAAAGTAACAACTTTTTTTCCATCTCACTTTAGCAGACTTTAAAGGAGCAAGTTTGTATCAAATATCTATGCACAGCTCCATGTATAAGGTTTGGGACTTAGCATATCCTTACACTCAATGAATCCATATCCATCCTAGTATTTTTTTTTTAATCCATTTTCAAGTGCAAGTATTTTGAAATGAGCGGGGCTTTTTAGGATTTAAAAAAAACCTGGTTATAAGCTGTGATACATTTATTGTGCCAACCTGGCCAATAGGAACATGTGGGATTAATCAGGGCACAGTTTGACTGGAGAGCAAAGAGATAAATGGCTCAGCAAGGTCTGCCCTCCTCTCTCTCGCTCTCTGGTGACAGGACCAGCATGCTGCTGCTTTCAGGTAGTTCTCTGTCTCAACCTGTGAGATATTACCTGTGGGCCAAGCCAACCCATCCATGGTGTCGCTAGAGCTTGAGGCTCCTTCGCGACCTGCCTTGCCATGCTGTTGGTTCATAGATCACTTGAGCTTGAAGCTGGTGGATCCTGTCACCTTGCATTGCGTGAGTTCAATATCCAATCCGGGCTTGCTTCGTTAAGCTCCCAAGCTGACCTACCCTGCTGTTTGTTGCCTGTGGGCAGACTGTGCTTGTCTTGCCTGTGGGAAGACTCAGCTGTCTGCCTTGACCTTGGACCTGGCAGCCCATGTGAGATGGACTTCCAGTATCTTAACTGTTCCATGGAAGTGAGTTGAACTGAGCTTCTGTACTGTGGACTAATTAGCTATTATAGTCCTTCTAGCTGTATAAACCTACCTATCTATCTAATCATAAGTGTCCTGATTTTGTTTCTCTAGCGAACCCTGTCTAACACACAAGCATTCACCATTTGATACTTAACTATAGAATCAATCTATATATGTGTAGGCCTCATTTTATAAAACACAGTGCAGTGAGATGTAAAACTTTCCATTCAACTATTTTTTTAATAACGCAGCCAAGTTAATAAGATAATGTGCTTACACTTTAGATATATGCTTCCCTCTCTCCTGCCCTGCCAGTATTTTAAATAGCAAATATGATTAACTATTAAATAGCAAATACTATTAACATGTCATTACAAGGTTTATACCCAGTATAACATTATAGATTTAAAGAGGATAGGGAATACCTTAAAGATTAAGGAAAAATTTTAAATAAATTGTACAAAATTATCTTTATGGAAGTTATAACCTCTAGTAACACAGCAACCACTGGGCTTTAAAAGAAAAAAACACACATTCTGATTCACTTTGGCCCAACAGAAGTTATTACTTCAATATTCTACTACTGCCTTTAACGAAAGGAAAAGTAGCACACAAAAATAAACAACCAAAAAGCACACTTATGGCAAACTTTTAAATTAAGAACTTACCAGCATAAAGAGTCTTATATATAAATTATATCATTCTATATTTCAACTATCACTGGATCCCAAAGTTTCAAACCTTTTCAACATGAAAGATAATTTTACACTATCTCCCTGTCTTGCAAGTTGTCCCAAAATTATAAACATGATTATAACAAATTTTTTTCTAGAATGAGAAGAAAAAAGGACTATAGAGCTTGAGTTAGTTCATTGTGCCAGCCTGGCCGATAATCACATGTGGGGCTGGTTGAAAGGCGGAGGGATAAATGGGTGGTGAAGCCTCGCCTTTCTAGTTCTCGGGTCTCTTGTTTTGTGATGGTTGCATCGGGTGCAGCTGCCTTAGCAGTTCCCTGCTTCAGCTTGCAAGATGGATTTCCTACAAGACATCCCCAAGGAGAAGCCGCATGGATATATCCCGATGCAGCCCTGGGTGCTGGAGCAGCCGTGTGGAGACCCCTGCCAGTGCTGAGATGCTTACACGTTCACTGACTCAGCTTTCCTCCTGCAGTCGGCATTATTGCCTCTGTTTTGTGAGGTGGAGGACTTTGTGGACTGGTGTTGGGTATGGGTTAATGTTGGACTTGTGGGCTTGGGCAGCATTGGGTTGGGATGTTTTCGTGATGCACATTTTCTTTGCATAAAACTCTCTCTTATACGTGAGTTGCTGTGGATTTGTTTCTCCAAAGTACCTAGACTAATACAGAGCTGTTAACACTTAAAAGTTTCATAGACCCAAAAGGTAATTTTCACTCCTAAAAAAGAAACCCTAGACAATAATGGAGAGAGGCTCGTAATTGGTTCGTATCGATCCTTTGGTTGTTCCTGCATATCAAAAGTACTTTTACAAAATCTTCAGTGTTCCTCTACTTAGAAAGGAGTGGGGAAATGGATCAATATTGCCTTCTAGGTCTTTTCTTTCTGTGTGGGGTTTTCAGTAGCAAGCACATTAGATACAAGTGTGTTTTCTAAATGACAGGTTGGTTGGTTAAAAGCCTAAGAGGAAGCCCGGTGCAAGTGCATCAATGTGCGGCCTGAGTGGCCGACTCTCAGGGCCATCTGTCTCAAGATTGTCTGTCAGCTGCAACATGAAAAGCTTGAGCTTCGTGGCTGAAACCTAACATGCAAGCAGCAGTCTCATGTAACAGTTTCACCATCAGTCACACCAGCACAAATTGTCACATTAATTTGATTTTTAGGTATCTGCAATGTTTAAAGACTTTAATCGTAGTAACACCAAAATGACCAACAAGGTTATTCTGGATAACATATAGAATAAAAATTCCCCTTTAATAAATATACACTTCAATGATCAGAAGAGCTCCTAACATGAAATAATTCATCTCAACACAATGCAAGTATTTAAAAAAAAACATAATTCATTAGTTTTCAAAACTTAATACATTTTTCTAAGATGACAGCATGGGTTTTGTGTTCTAAAAATTGACTATAGTACTTCAAAGACCTAGAGGAAAACTTCAAAGAAAAGCTCGGTCTTGAATCTAACACTAAATTTTCATCCACATATCTTCAGATACTAAGGAATGCTAGCATTCACCCACCTCATAGATTCCAGTCTCTGCTAGGTAGAGAGGACTTTACTCATGTGATGGAAACCAGTATTTTCAAAACCAGATTTCTACCTCAAAGGCAAACATAATAAAAAGAAGTAACACTCTATTTAAATTATTACATTTGTGCCTACACACACCAACCACCCTTCTCTCACACGAGATTCTGTATGAGATCTGTTAGCTGGGAATCAGAAGATAATATCTATAATCAACACTATGACTATTGTACACCATCCAGACCTTTTTATTGTTAAGTTCTGTAGAAGAAAAAGAGAAAGTAAGGGTGAGAAGCCTCTTAGCATTCTAATGGGTATTTTAATATTTTTCCTATATCCCCCAATGACAAAATAAAACTTCAAAAGGCATAAATAAAACTTCAAATTATGGTTTCTTTTTTTTTTTTTCAAATGATGGTTTCTAAATGTCATTGCCAGCTCCTACACACGAAACAAAAGCCCAGAGAAGGTGTATGCCATGAGGCCAGGCTGTGGCATGTAATTAATCCCCTATAATATTCTTTAAAATAAATAAATAAAAGTTAATTAGGAAGCTGATAATGTCTTTGACTCAAGTAAAACTCCAGCACTACTCTAAATATACACTGCGCCGCTGCTTCATTAATTGAGATGTATTTGAACTAATAAGTGCCTACGTGATCATTTAAAGAGAAAAGGTAAACCTTATTCAGCTCAAATAATTCTTCAAATACCATGGTGCACAATTTGAGGTGACGCTAAACTGAAATTCAATTAAGTTTAATCTTTCAAGAACCACCAGAGTTCTCGTTTTATTACCCTATAACTGAAACTCAGTCTTTACCTGATATTTACCGATTCTTTCACAAAGAAAACAGAACACAATAGATGAGCCTTATACTGCAAGAGGACGAACTGGCTAGCTATGGAGTTCCAGGTGGGATGATCTGAAATTTCAGAGAAATCATAACTGTCAAGCCTCCATAGCCACTTAAAGGCATTTGGTGTCAGTCTCTTAAAGGATTCAGATGCATTAAAACAAAACCCCTATAAGAATATCAAGGATTAGGGAATTAGCTTCATGAGTCGCTTTAAATGTCTATCTATGGCTTCAACTGTCTGCCCTACTGTTGAGGTAGGTAGCCAAGGTTCATCAAAATATAACAAACTTTTAAATTCCCTAAGAAAAACCTTGCAAAACAGGTGAGCTCTTAAACTTGTGTCTGGTTTCTCTTGATGGTTTGCTTTTTCTTTCTTTAATTTTCGTCCCGCCCACCCCCGCATTTGTACTTTTTAAAAAGATGCTGTCCAAGCAACTGTGCCTTTACGCTCTTGCCGAGTAGCACCTCATGTACTCTGTCATCCACGGGTTATCTGAGGAGGAAGCCTTTGCCTTCCTGTTTTTCTCCACATCCACAGAGTGGGCACGTTGTCTCTGAGTGACCAGTTTCCGTTTTTCCACCTGTCTTCGGTTCTTGGCTCGTAGTGCTGATTCGTGAATCTACAAAGAGTTTAAATTAAAAATACAGTAATTTAATAGAACTAAGTTTCAACAATATCCACAGCGTACTTCCTTCAGATTCCGTGAAACAAGGACAGTCAAACTCAGCGTTTTTATATACAGTTCCCCCCGTATATAAAAGCAGTACAGGAAAAGTCATTCCCACTAGATCTGGTGGCTTATTCCGTTTCTGTGGCAAACCAGACAACAAAAATGTCTGTCTACTCAATGGGCCTCCACTCAAGTACTCCCTCAATGGAAGAACAATTTGTTCTACTAACACAGCACTTTGTGATGCTCACCTTCCCTGACACGATTGCTGAAGACAAAATAGGTACATAAGCAAATGTGGTGAAGAAAGCTGATAGTGCCTGGCTATCAAAGGATATAGCGTCTGGGGTCTTAAAGCCTTGAAGATAAACAAGCGGCCATCTAGCTAAGAAGCAGCAAAGCCCACATGAAAGAAGTACACCAGTCTGTGTGATCATGAGGTGTTGTTGGGATCAGGTATCAGGCATCAAAGACCCAAAACAAAACAAACGAACAAACAAAAAGCATATCCATGGAATGAGGGGGAGGGCAGAGTGGAGACCCAAAGCCCATCAGTAGTCAATTGGACACCCCCTGCCAGAATGACCACAAGGAAAAGAAGAGCCCGTCAGGGTTCAATATAGCACTGAAGAAACACAACCTTCCTCTAGTTCTTTAATGCTTATTCCCCCCACCCCCACTACCATGACCCTAATTCTATCAAATCTGGCTAGACCAGAATATGTATACCAGTACAGATAAGAGCTCACAACACAGAACAGATACACCTCTCAGGACCAATAAGGGGAGCAGTGATACTAGGAAGGGTAAGGGTTGGGGTAGGGAGGGAGGAAAAAGGAATGGGCCACAATGTATGGTGATCGATGTATGGTGAGCAGCAGAAAAATAGGTGAAATGAGACAACAGTCTGTGTAAGACATGAAAAAAAGAACAATTTATAAATCATCAAGGAGGCATGGAGTGGGGGCAATGAGCTGATGACAGGCTCAAGTAGAAAGAATATGTTTTGAAAAAGATGACGACAACATATGTACAGATGTGTTTGACAAAATAGGTATATGTATGGGTTGAGATAAGAGCTGTAAGAGCCCCTAATAAAATGATTTTTTTTTTTAAAGAAAATGTGTGTCTACTGGACTAAATTTCAAATGTAAATGGTAGGCAGCTCATTTTCATATGCTTCTACAAATGAGCTCTGGAAAACTGTTGAAACTGCTTACCATTAAGAAGGGATGGTATTTCATTAAAGAACTTCAAATGTTTTATAGCAGTATACTAAATAAGAGAGATTCTCAAGAGTTTACCAACTAAAGCAGATAGACCTGTTAGATTTGAGATGATAGATCTGTCGGAGGCCTTTTGTTAAACCACAGCTTCACTGTCTCAAATATCACTCAAATCAACACCATCTGCTAGGGTTAAAAAAAAAAATCTGCTCCGAGGGCAATGAATGTACAAATGTGCTTTACACAATTGATGTAGGTATGGATTGTGAGGAGAGTTCTATGAGCCCCTAATAAAATGATTTTTTTAAAAATCTGCTCAGTAAATATTTCACTGTAATACTAAATCAGAATTCAAACAGTTTGCAGTTTCTCTTTCTGCTGCTTTGAATGCATTCTTTACGTTAAGCCTTCATTGTTTTTTGATTATAAATGCCGTGAGGTCATGTAAAATGTTTTCAGGACTTGAGACAGGACAACAGATGACTAAGGGACAACTGATACTATCAGGAGTCAAAAGTTAAGGTTGCAGATGAGCAGGAGAAAACGTGCTGTAAATTGAATCAGAAAAGTGCAAAGCATTCTATGAGAACTGTTTGCAACTTCAGAAGAAGCCATTGGGCAGACAAACCATTGACAAAGGAGTCAAGGCAAGTCTAGGTCACCGAACCCATGGGGTAGAGTTGTTCCAAACTTAGCTCAAGGATAGAGTAGATTTGCCCCATAGAGTTTCTAAGGCTGTAATCTTTACAGAAGCAACCGGCCACGTCTTTCTCCCATGGAGCAGCTGGTTGGTTTGAACAGCCAACCAGTTAGCAGCCAAGGGTTTAATCATTAGGCCACCAGGGCTCCTTATGTAACAGAAAAACCAGTGGCAAAGGAGTCGAGGAAACACTGGGTTGTGTCAAAGGCCAAGGGATCAGCTTCTCAGAGGCCAGTCACAGCCCCACTCCCATTTCCCAGGTTCTTTCTGGCGACGTAGAAACTCATAAACCCTCACCATCCGCTGCATGGTTTTAGTAAGCCCTTCCAGATGCCACCTAACTGCCAGCCAATACTCCTAGAATGCCAAGTAACCAACATCTAGAATCCGGCTTGCTCTTCAGATTCCCAGTTACGGCTTTTCTGACCCAATCTACCGCTAATCACCACCGCCCAGAGCAGCGCATGTCTGGGCATCTGAAACCCAATAATGGGATTGTAATCTTAACTCGTATTTACCTCCCAAAAGAAAACAAAAAACACAGGCCTACCTCATGCACTGGGGCAGACGCACAGACATTGTGAGTTTTTTGGCTTCCTGTGTCTGTCTGTCTTTCTCCCCAGCCATAAAGAGCAAATGGATGCTTGTTTTCTTTTATTTTGCTGCATGATCTTTGAGGGAGTTTGGCTGTTTTCCTATTTTCTGTAGAAAACAAGGCACTTGGTTGTTGTCGAGACTCGAGTTCGCCGGGTAGTTTATCAGTTACTTTTGTTTCCGTTTGCTGTTCTGGTTTTCCTTCCACTTCTTCCCGTGGCAATTCTTGGAAGGGAAAAAGGGGAGAAAACGAGGTGAAAATACTTTCAAATGAAGTGGACAAACAATTACTTTACTTGGGTAGAACATTTTATAATGTTCAAGTCAGTAATATTCTCATTCTCATTCTTACAGTTTAATTTCATTTTCAGCAAAACAGCATAATAATTTTAAAACAGACATCACCTTCAGGGAAAAAAAGCAAACAATAAAGCCTCTAAAACCTATTCAAAAGCAAAATTTTCTCCTAATATTCTGAGATGTAACCTCTCAAAGGTTAAGACGCTAGAAAGCACCATGACCTAAGGGACATTTCCCAACCACCCCTGTTGACTCCCTAAGCATCCTGAAGCCTTGCTTCAGGGAAAGCTTTGAATTGGTGGGAATAGCCCAGCAGCTACAAGATGTTGGGTTTGTTTCTTTTTTGGTATTTTAAATGTTGAACAGTTTTATTGGCATATAATTCACATACCATAAAATTCAATAGTTTAAATACATTAAAAAAGACTTGTGCATTCATCACTACAATCAAGTTTAGCAGCAACTAGATTAATAATTCCTTAGGGTTATGGCAGGAGAGGCTGGGGAGTGGGGGGGGGGAGGATAAGAATGAAAAGGGTGCTAGTTTTTAGTTACTCGAGTTCCAAGATTCCATTTCTTGTTGATGTTCCATGATGACCAAAACTGTTCCTTATGGGTCTTACAGTGCCATTTGTTTGAGGTAGATACCTCGCTTGGCTTTAAAGGGCCAAGTCACAATGGGGGGTGGTTTCCATGGTTACTTAACCTGGAGACACAGTAGATGGGTATCTCAGTAGGAAAGAGAGAGAGAGGAAGGCTCCCGTGCAGCAGAAATGATTGAGTGAATCCGGCTCACAGTCCACAGAGCCCTAAATTCTGCCAGACCGTAGACCTGGGGAAGCTGAGAGAGAGTATGTCTATCCTAACTAACGTGGACATCCGAAATTAACTGATCTCAAAAAATGCCTTATGTCCTTTAATGACCGTGTATTGTTTTTCTATGGAGTCTATGTTATAAACTTGTTGTGAGCTTGTTTGATTTAGCCTGAACTGGCATTTAAAGAGACACCTTAGACATCTAGGGCTCCATTTCTTGTATCCTAGATGGGAGTCAAATCTGACACATATCAAATATAAAGAGATGGCTGAATAGGGCTGCCCCTTGGATTTCCAAGAGTGCAAATATTTACATGAGTAGAAAGCCTCATCTTCCTCTTGCAGAGCAGCTGGTGGTTTTGAACTGCTGACTTTGTGGTTTCAGCCCAACTCAGAACCAAACACGCCTCCAAAGCTCCAGGTCTTAAGGAGTAACTCTAATTTCTGATGCCCCAGAATTGGGCTCAGGTGAAGATTTTTTTAGGTTGTTACAAAACCTCATTTAATTCTTGAGTCTTGGTTGCTATTCTTCCCTTGTCTGTTTCTATGGTCCCTTTAGGTATAGTGAACCCCTGTACAGGACAGGTCAGACAGTATCTGGGAAAAACCTTTATACATCATCTGTCATTCATGCCTGCAGAAACGACCTGAACTATGCCAGGCAGAGCAGCTTCTTACTAAAGAACATACAGCCGCCCCCAGCCCTGGGCTCAGTGGTGCTCACCATCAAGCACTGTGTCTTTAAACCCCATGTGACAGCTGTTTGGGGATGAGGTGGGGTGCCAACATTCTACTTTAGCACAAGGACCTAAGTCCTTTTGTTGATCAAAGGTGCCTTTGAGTGACGTGTCCACATCCTTTCCTCTTCTCTTCTCTGGATCTATAAAGAAGAGGAAGGGAAGGACATTCAGGAAGAAGCCAAGGGAGCAATGTTCATGTACAGAGTTATAGTACTGGACAGAGTGAAAAACAGCAAACCAAAGCATCTTCCCTAATCCAGTCCCTTCCCCTCCTCCCCTGTGCTAAGTATGTCTAGCCCCGAGATCTTTCAAAAAAGCTCTACCAGAAAACAACTGTTTTCTACTTCCAACTCACAGTGACCCTGTAGGAAAGGATGGAACTGCCCCTGTGAGTTTCTGAGACTGGAACTCGTTATAGGAGCAGAAAACCTCATCTTTCTCCTTTGGAGCAGCTGGTGGTTGTGAACTGTTAGCCTTGAGGTTATCAGCCCAAAGCGTAACCCACAACGCCAAGGTAGTAATCATTTAATAGGCAAACTAGAGCTAGCCAGAAGAGATGAGAAAAGACTTCCAGGAAGAGGGGGCTTTTTCAAAGGCTAGGTAGTAAAAGACAAAAAGGAATTGTAATTCTAGAGCTCAAGGTGAAGAGTACATAGACTGTATGGGCGAAGGTTCAGAGCATAGTGCGGAGAAAAAGACTCTCTGGCACAAAGTAAGAGATACTTATTTTCTCCAGATAATAAAATTCAAAGACTGTAGCAGTTTAGGTTGTGTCCACGTAGCTATGTCATAATTCTCAGTGATTTGTTAGATCAAGGGTACTCGATCCCTTGAGTTTGAGATACTCTTGACACAGCCATGTAGGCAAGCAGCTAGACTTGGTCTGCAATTCGGGAGAAAGGATGGCACTGGAGATGAAAGCGTGTCATGAATACACTGGTCGGAGTGGAAGCCGTTGTTGTGAATCCGATCACCCAGAACAAGTTCACAGTCAGGAGAGACGGATAAAACTAGGCTCTGGGATCACCAGAATAAATTTCTAAGACTGTGGTAGTTTAGGTCATTTAATGAACAATTGTTTCTTTTGTCTGATTCTTTCCAGGGTTCAATTCTGTCATGTCAGGCCCACTTCCTCTGCTTTCCAGGTCAAGATTTTATTGGCATATTTTTTTCTGATGTCCAGGGAAGAGATGACATCAAACAAAAATGACCCCACGGAATTAAGCAGGATGAATACTAGCTGACCTCTGGAAAGAGTCAGAAAAAGGTCCTCATGCAAACTCCCCACAGGAAGGCCCACCAGTCAACAAGGCTCTACTATGTACCTAGAGCTTCTGGGAAACTCATTCTAACTATGAACAGGCAGGTCAAGATCAAACATCTTCGAATAGTAAAAAGCCAAAAATAAGTGGAAAAAGATAGGCAGGGAATTGCAGAGACCTCTCAAATAATAATGACAGCTTTTATTAGAATTTTTATAGAACAAGAAACAAATAGGATGCTATTTTTTAAAACTAAGAAGAATACTCCAAACAAGAACAAAAAATAGTGGTAAATTAAGATTTTTTTAAACTAGGATAGAAGAATTTAAATTTTAAATAGGTTAGAAGATAAAACTTAAGAACCCTCCTCGTCCATAGAATTTTTTTAAAAAATCAATTATTTTTACTTTTAAAAAATAATCTGATTTCCAGTATGGAATGTAAAGAGTTTGGAAGCCATCCTTTCCATCCCAACAAGAAAAAAGCTGGAAAATCCTAACTCTTCTTAGAACCATCAAATAATTGAAATCACACAGCAAACTACCACCCTGAAACCTGAATTCACCCCTTGCCAAGGAGCAGAGACCTCAGCTTCGGTCACCACCACCACCCCAAACACACTTCACTCACTGCTATAAAGTCCTCTGCTGGCCTTTCAGTTAGCAGTCCAATGCTTATCTAACAGTACCACGATGGCTCCTAGATCCTCTTCCAAAAAAAACCACACTCACTGCTATTGAGTCACTGCCAATTCTTAGTGACCCTACAGGACAGGGTAGAACTGCCCCTGTGGGTTTCCAAGACTGTAACTGTTTGGGGGAGTAGAAACCCTCATCTTTCTCCTGGGGAGCTGCTGGTGATTTTGAACTGCCAGCCTTGCAAATCGTACCTTAATGTGTAACCCACTATGCCACCAGGGCTCTTAGGAATACTTAAAAAACAGCAATAACAATAACAAAATCCTAACAAGACTAAGAGCCCTGATGGAATGGTTATGGTTGAGTTGTAATTCACAAGGTCAGCAGTTCAAAACCACCAACCGCTCCATGGGAGAAAGATGGGGTGTCTATTCCTGTAAACAGTTACAGTCTTAGAAACTCACAAGGGCAGTTTTGCCCTGCCCTGTAGAGAGCCCTGATGAGTTGGCATAGACTCGACAACATGAGAACAAGACAAAGGTAAGTGCATTATTAAGGGAACTTGTCTGTAGCAGCCCACGGATTCCAGAGACATGTTTAAACATGTGCTGTTTGGAATAAGCCTGGGCACGTAGGAACCAGAACCCCAGCAGCAATGCATTGTACTTACCCTTGTATCTCTCACACACACTGTAGAAAATCAGAAGCAGAACATTCTGAGTTTAAAACCATTTTACCCATACAGGAACAAGGATGAGAATACATCAGACTGTTCATAAACCATGCAAGCAAAAGAAGGTAGAGTAGAATATTTAAATGAAAAATATTTCCAAGTCAGAATTCTATAACCAAAAAATTATCCTTCAAAAATGAAAGGGAAATAATGACTTTCTCAGTCAAATCAAAATGGAGAGAATTTGTTGCCACTTGATTTGCCTTGCAAAAAAAGTCATAAGAAGTTCAGAGAGTGGGGAGCAGGGTAGGAAGGGGAAAAATGAGGAGTTGATACCAAGGGCTCAAGCATAAAACAAATGCTTTGAGAATGATGATAGCAACAAATGTATGTGCTTGACAGAATGGATGGATGTATGGATTGTGATGAGTTGTACGAGCCCCCAATAAAATGATTTTTTTTAAAAAGAAGTTCGGAGAGAAGGAAAGTGATAGAAGTCAGATATGACAAAATACCAATTTATAAACTATCAAGGGCTCATGAGGGAGGGGGGAACGGGGAGGGAGGGGAAAAATGAGGACCTAATGTCGGGGGTTTAAGTGGAGAGAAAATATTTTGAGAATGATGTACAAATGCGCTTTACACAATTGATGTGTGTATGGATTGGGGTAACAGTTGTATGAGCCCCTAATAAAATGTTTTTAAAAAAAAAGAGTTGTACAAACCTCCAATAAAATTATTTTTTTTTAATGAAAAAAAAAAAAGAAGTCAACAACATAGATCTCCATAAAGAAGAGTTTGAGAAAGAATAAATGAGGCAAAATATTTTATTTTTCTTGTTCTTAACTAATAGTTTATTTAAAAGAAAAATAACAATAATACACTGGATGAGTGGAGTGTATGGATAATTGATGTGTATGTGATGTTATAAGGGAGGGAAGGGAAGAATACACATATGGAGTGTTACAGTGTTACTTCAAAGTGCACTTAGAACACTTGTAAATGCACACAGCAAACTCTAGGGTAACCATGAAATTCTTTTTTTAAAGGAAAACAACAGAACACTGTGATAATGCTGGAAGAGGAGTTGGCTCAGCTTAGAAGGCACTCAAAATAGGACTGGGGAAGAGCTGCCTCCTTAGCAGAGAGACAACCTTAAAGGCTGTGGATGGAGTGAAAGCCTTCTGGACCCTCATTTGCTGATGACAAAAATGAGAAGCAACAGCTATAAACATCCATGAATAATCAGAATGTGTGAACTCCTAATAAAGGAAAAAACAGGAAGTTGTCAAAAATGAAAAGGAACACTTGTAGATTAATTTCCCTGGCATTGATGAGTCAAAATGGACAAGTACTGGAACCAGACAGCCATCTGGTCTACAAGGCCAGGAATGACACATTGAAAAGAAACAGTCATATGATCATTAGAAAGGACGTTTCAAAATCCATCCTGAAGGACAATGCTATCTATCAGCGATAGGGAAATATCCGTAAGCCTAGGCTCAAAGGAGTCCTCATTAGTCATTGGACTACTCAAAGTCACTAGTTCAAACATGCTTGCTGCTCCTTGGGAGAAAGATGAAGCTGTCTGCTCCTGTAAAGATTTACAATCTCAGAAATCCTAGAGTCCCTCTGAGAAGTGACTTGGTAGCAGTAGGTTTAGTTTTTGTATTTGATAAAGAAAACCAGTGTATATGACCATTATTCAAATTCACACATCAATCACAAGGCCGAAGATGAAAACAATGAAAGATTTTGCACAAACAGCTACAATCTGAAATTGATCAAAAGTACAAACAAGATGTATTGTAAATAACTGGTGACGGTAATGGAAAAGTTGGAAACTAAAAAGACCTTGTGGCCAGCAGTTTGAAACCACCAGTGCTCCTCAACAGAAAAAAACAAGGCCTTTAAAATCATTTACATCTGTGGAAAACAAATGGAGAAGCTCAATATTATCAGTCAAGACAAAGCCAGTGGCCAACCACAGAACAGACCACAATTGTTCATAGGCAAATTACGATGCTGAAGAAAATCAAAACCAGTCCAAGAGAGCCAAAATATGAGCTTGAATACCCCCTACCTGACCTCAGAGACCATTGAAAGCAGATCTGATGAAGAGAACACAACGACCGAAACCAAGGAGCACAGTGGGATGACATCAAGGACATAGATAGAAAAAGAGGCTAAAATAGAGGTCAAGAGACTCCTGTGCAGGGCAGAGTAGCTAAAGCAACCATAAGAAATGATGCAGTAAAAAAAAGCTCAACAGTGACTCGAGAAGACAAGGTAAATAAACAATTACAATGAAATATGCAGACCTGGAGTTCAAAACCCAAAAGGGAAAAACACGACTGTCATCTCTCAAGCTGAAAGAATAGAAGAGGAAAACTCAAGACTCAAGTGGCAATATTGAATTCTATGGGCAATAAATTTAATGAGTTAGAAAGCATCAAAAGAATATAAAAGAACTATACAATCATTTTACCCAAAAGAATTAGTCGACCTTCAGCCATTTCAGGAGGTAGCATATGATCAAGAATCATTGGTACTGAAGGAAGAAGTACACTGAAGATAATGGGGAAAACATTATCAATTGAGATACTTCAACAAAAGAGATACCATAAAGGAAGTGCTTATTTGTCTATGCTGATAAATCTGGAAAAGAGTTACCTGGCCAATAGATTAGAAGAGATTCCTATTTGTGCCCATTTTAAATTAAGGCAAGCAAACAGAATATAGATATTACTGGGCAATGTCATTAATAACTCATGCTGGCAATCTATTAT